AAAAATTGTTAGGTGTTTAGGTTCTGTTGGCAATTGTGTGTGTTTGCAGTACATGGTTTGCTTTCAATCCGTCCTCGACTCAAGTCCATTACATTCAGCGGTCAACCCCACAGACGCATTCATAAATTTTAACATGCTGTTTATTCAAAACGGGAATTTTCTGAAGTATAAATTAATATTATAATATATTAGCATATTGTGTATATATAGGCATAGGATAGGTTAGGTGTTTAGGTTCTGTTGGCGATTATTTGTATTTGTAGTACGTGGGTGAAGCATTTATAGCGTTGTGATTCGAACAAAATTCATCAGTGAAGCACTTGTTCCGGATATGTTCGAACGTCAGCAGTTGTGAGTCGTGTGTAAACCGCTTTTCATTCATAAACTAGTCCGTCCTCCAAACAAAGATCCAAAAGTGATTCCATGCACTCGCCAAACCCCCTGTTTATGAATGAAAAGCGGTTTACACACGACTCAACTGCTGACGTTCGAACATATCCGGAACAAGTGCTTCACTGATGAATTTTGTTTGAATCACAACGCTATAAATGCTTCACCCACGTACTACAAATACAAATAATCGCCAACAGAACCTAAACACCTGACCTAACCTAACCTATGCCTATATATGCACAATATGCTAATATATTATAATATTAATTTATACTTGAGAAAATTCCCGTTTTGAATGAACAGCATGTTAAAATTTATGAATGCGTCTGTGGGGTCGACTGCTGAATGTAATGGACTTGAGTCGAGGACGGGTTGCATAAACAGGGGGTTTAGCGGGTGCATGGAATCACTTTAGGTCTTTGTTTGGAGGACGGGCTGTTGCTTTACATGGGTAAAGTATTTACCAACCCATCCTCGACTTAAGTCCATACCATCCAGCGGTCGACCCCACAGGCGCATTCATAAATTTTTACATGCTGTTCATTCAAAACAGGAATTTTCTCAAAATTAATATTATAATATATTAGCATATTGTGCATAGGTTAAGCGTTTAGATTCCGTTGGCGTTTATTTGTATTTGTGGTACGTGGGTGAAGAATTTACAGCGTTGTGGTTCGAACAAAATTCGTCAGTGAAGCACTTGCTCCGGAAATGTTAGAATGAAATCAGTTGCGAGTCGTGAGTAAATAAATAAATAAATAAATGTTTATTTAGGTAAGGTACATACATAAAAAAGATTTTACAAAGTTTGTTGGGTTAATAGATAGAGCTAGTACATATAATGCCTAAAGCCACTATTAGCCACCTAAAGCCACAAATCGTTTTTCATTCATAAACAGGGGGTTTGGCGGGTACGTGGAATGGTCTTTATGCAGCCCGTCCTCCAAACAAAGATCCAAAAGTGATTCCATGCACCCGCCAAACCCCGTTTATGAATGAAAAGCATTTACACACGACTCAACTGCTGAAGTTCGAACATATCCGGAACAAGTGCTTCACTGACGAATTTTGTTCGAATCACAACGCTATAAACAGCCCGTCCTCCAAACAAAGATCCAAAAGTGATTCCATGCACCCGCCAAACCCACTGTTTATGAATGAAAAGCGGTTTACACACGACTCACAACTGCTGACGTTCGAACACTTCCGGAACAAAGTGTTTCACTGACGAATTTTGTTTGAATCACAACGCTATAAATGCTTCACCCACGTACTACAAATAATCGCCAACAGAACCTAAACACCTGACCTAACCTAACCTATGCCTATATATGCACAATATGCTATTATAATATTAATTTATACTTGAGAAAATACCCGTTTTGAATGAACAGCATATTAAAATTTATGAATGCGTCTGTGGGGTTGACCGCTGGATGTAATGGACTTGAGTTGAGGACGGGTTGCTTTATAGTGTATTGTGAGGACTAATAATAAACAGAAGCTCCCCTATGACTCTGTAATATCCCCATTGGCCAAACTATTATGTATTAACGATAAGACCTACCATTAATGTATGATGACTTACTGTAAAGATGTAGCTCTTGTAATAGCACTTTCTCTGTAACTAGCTGACATTGTATCTATAAGGTGTGAAGGATTGAAGAAATTGTTTATGTAATAATCTAAGATGAGGTCTGATAAAGACCTTTTGTGCCTTCTGTAATGCTTTTGCGCTACCGTTCACAGGATGAGTATGGGGTGCACAATAAACTAGCCGCCTTCGGCGGCAACAAAAAAAAAAAAAAATGTGGACGGCTGAGTCAAGACACCCTCAGACAGTCTCCATTTGGGTCATTGAACAGCCCGCCCTCCAAACACCCAAAAATCCATTCCATTCACCCGCTAAACCCAGTTTATGGATGAAAAACGGCTTACACACGACTCCACTGATGACGTTTGAACACTTCTGGAACAAGTGCTTTACAAATGAATTTTGTTCAAACCACAACACTAAATGTTTCACAAACGTACTACAAATAATTGCCAACAAAACCTAAACACCTAACCAGGGCCTAAATATGCACATAAAATATGGTAATATAAAATAAAATTAATTTAGATTTGAGAAATTTTCAGTTTTGAATGAACAGATTGTTAAAATTTAAGAATGCGTCTTTGGGGTTGACTGCTGGATGGAATGGACTTGTCCGAGGACAAGTAGCATTGAACCACCTTCTGGAGGGGGGGGGGGGGGATCCCTCTTAGTGTTTGAACTGGGGTACAAGGTAGAAGAATCTGCACTGGAATAAGAAAATGATACAATATGACTCAATCTCCCTGTTTAGAAGTAAGGATGATGCCATGGCCTGCCTTAGCAAGTGGGATACCATGGCTCCAAGGCCAATCCCATTTACACTAAAAATCTTGCGGCATCTGATTTGAACTACAGAAGCTACAGTAGTAGGCAAATGGGACCTATAGTATGACAGGCCTGGGGCCATGTCCCAGCAGTCTTTGGCTCACCCCTTGATCCAGCCATGCCCCTTTTCCAGCTGCGTCAATGGTAGGGATACTTCCCATATTACCAGTGGTGACCTGACTCATTATCTTCCGTTTGTGCCTCATGTTCCCCTCACTAATTGCACCCTTTTTAGCTCTGGAAAAACTGAGGACGAGATGAGTGAGATTCAGAGTTAGAGGACACAGGACCAACAATGGCTGACAAGGTGCAAGTTAAAATGCTCAGACAGTTTTTAGAGGTAGAGGACATGGAGTGGGACTGCCCTGGCATGGGGACATCAGCAAGAACAATCAAAATTAAGAATGGAAATAACATTTGCCTCTGAAGTGGCCTCTACCTTACAGGGAGGAATGGGCAAGGCATCTGGTTTGTTTCTGGCCAGTAGATGGGGGCATAGCCTAGACTTCTTTGAGGCAAACTGGTATATGGGTGTATGTACATCAAGTGATTTATTTGCAAACACCCTTTGGAACTTCCGAGGGGGTTTGCCTGGGAATTGAATGTGACCAAAGATAAGGGAGCAAGGAGTGGACAGTTTGAATCTGACAGTTTAGCCTGAATCCCACCATGTCATTTTAATAAGTTTCCATCAGGGAGACAGAAAGAGACCATTAATCCCATTGCTAGTATTCAACTACACCTTGGTAACCAGGAGCTTGCCAGACCATTGGGAACTGAAGGTTACATTTAACTAGGTTATAAAGCTGGTGATCATCACTTTTGTCCATTAATTTATTTAATCTTTATTATGCTTGGTCGACAATACATTGACCCCCAATAAAAAGTGGAGCACATGGCAGTCTTGAGGATGAGGTACTGAAATGACTAGCCAGTTAATACCAGTGATGCAGTAATGGGACAGGATGAACTGTGGAATAGAGCAGTCTGAACCCAACACGAGTTGCTCCTCCATGAGGAGGGGGGACAGAACTTCCAGACATGTGGGCCTGGTCACCTGCTACATGTGAGGAAGAACCAGGTTACAATATACATAGAATGTGTAAATTGAATGGATGACCCCCAGAGCTACGGGACACCATGCACACGAGTCAATATGATGGCTGAAGATATGATGACCAAACTACACATCAGAAAATTAAGAACATTTCCATCCCTCCTGGACCATTATCAAGTCATATGATAGAAGAGAGGAAGGGACACGTAAGAGGAAGATAAAAGGTCGTAAGAGAAAGGGGCAAAGCTTAAGTTAGATCGCATTTGTTTAGAAGGCTAAGAGCATTTAAGCATGTACTGTGAAGTCAACAGCAACAGAGCCAGGACTAAGGTTCATGGGTATCAAGAACCAAAAACAGGAGGGACCAAAATGAAATCTTTTTAATTTTCTGACGTGTGATTTGTTCATCACCTACAGGACAGCTAGGAAAGCTGAACAGTCAGTGCAGGAGCCACCTTACTAAATGAACACTTATGCGGGGGAGGTAAACTAAGGAAGTTTGCAAACTTTTTTGAGGTAACCCGGTAATTATCAAGAGCATGTGCCAAGCCATTACAACTAAAGTACAGTATACTGTACAACACTTCGAAGGAATAAGAGGACAAGGGCTAGATAGGAAGGAGGAAAAGAATAGTGCTCAATGAGTTGCAGGTTGACATTCATTTCCTGACCATCCAAGATCTAAGGCTGTTGCTCTACTGTCCAGTTTTTTTTTTGTCTAGATATGGCAAGATTTTTGTAAATAGGTTCAGAGTAGGGAACAACTGCATTTGTAAATATTGCAATTTTAATGGTACCCAGCAAAACTCGAATAAAATAGGCATGTAAGTATTTTTTACCAATGCAAACTCAAAAAGCAGTGGTATACTGTGGAAAAGTTTAGTGCTGGTTTGCCATGATTATGCAAGACTAGGCAATTTTAACATAGGTACATTGGCTTTAGTTTCTATAGAACAGCAGCAGAACCAATTACACAAATACTTAAGGGCAGGCCTGGTTCAATGCCTGCCTTCATTAAAATTTGAAATTTGCAAAGCTGATTTTCATTTTCTAAAACCCAATTTATGCAACAAGAAAGTTATAGTAAAATAGGGAGTTGGTTGCCTAATAGGTAAAGAAAATAATTTATGTTTTTTTTTTTTTTATTTCTTAAGCAGTTTACTTAGTCTTTGATGCAGCTTTCTGGGCCTTGAGGACCTTTACCACAATCTTCTGCTCCTCAATCAGGAATGCTCGCACAACCCTGGTAAATGAAAATTATATTACAGTATAACATGCAAGTTTTAGTTTTTAAGAATTTACTTTAATATTCGGTTTAAAGATACTAGTGATCTAAAGATAAATTCTAATGAATCTGTAGAAACAAATTTTAAATAAAATGCTAAAAATAGCAATGGTTTTTCTATATAAATCTTCCAAGCAGTTGGAGGAAAACAAATATGTTGCACATTTAAACAATTGATAAAACTAATTAGCAGCGTTTTATAAAAATCTAAATACTAATCGGCTCACTGAGAAAGGTATCCATCAGACCCTTGGGCCGCTAAGCGTCATAATGGCTTCAACACCCACAGATGCAACAAAAATAGAAATTAAAAAAAATTCTTTCGTCTTATAAGTGTTAATTCGTGTTCCCCGATCACGGAATTAAAAAAAAAATCGTAGGTGGCATATCTTAGCCGCAATAGGGTAGGGAAGACTGGCAAAAAAAAAAAAGAGGCGTTGACAGACTTCACCAGACAAGGTTTACTCCGCCAGAGCTGTCAGGCGGTAGTTGCCACAAATATATTATTACCTAATTTCAATTTCTTTTTTTTTTTTGCAGTAATATTATTCAAGTGTGTATTGTTATCTATTTATATAATAAAATGTGTGAACCATCGCTGTACTCAAAATTATGGTGTGCATATTAGCGATTCAATTATTATATTCATAAAATAAACAAATAGTTTTGCTGTTATTACACTATATACACAGGTTATATACAAGTACTGTATCTGCATGTTTTGCTCGCCATAATGAACCACTAAGTTGGTATTGTGAGTCGAGTGCAACGAGGAGTGACCGCCACACACCAGCCAGCCACTCGCTGCCACTCCTTCCCTCAACACCACCTCACTCGCCCTCATTCCCCACCCACAATACTGTTTTTGCATTTATTCACTATACACAGACATTATATACAAATATTAACATGTTTTGTTTACCATAACTGTACATCTAAGCTTGTATGGTGAGTAAATCCAAGAAGATGTAGCTACTCGCACAGTCAGCTGGTGGCGGCCGCCCTCAAGGCCAGACGCACTAATATTTCTCCAACAATATTGTTTGTGGTGCTATTATGCTATATACACACATTATATACAAGTATCTACCTCTTTTATTCACCATACCTGTACAAATAAGCTGGTATGGTGCCGAAAGACCACAGTGGCCACCAGTAAACATGACAAGTCGTGCAGACGATGCACCTCCCTCACCAAAATGGCGCCTCCCAACCTACTCCTATTGCTGTTATATATATATAACGTGTGTATAGTGTAATAAGTATCTACATTTGTGTTCACCATAGCAAACCACTAAGCTGGTATGGTGAGTGCAGTCAATGAAAGGTGGCCACACACAGAAGTAAGTAATTATCAAAAGAAGGCACCAAACCGGGAAGGCTATGTAGAACCATCAAATACGCAAGTAAGTAATTATCAAAAGAAGGCACCAAACCGGGAAGGCTATGTAGCACCATCAAATACGCAAAATAATCAGAGGGCGCTAAATATCACCAAGGATGCCAATACGAGAACAAAAACGCATAAGGCGAACGATATCAAAAGTATCCGAGTCACCAAGAATTCTAGCGAGGGACAGGTGACCGCGAGGGGCGGTCGGTAAGCAAGACACACGCTCGTCCTGGAAGTCAGGACATTCAAGAAGGACATGCACGACCGTAAGAGGGACAATGCAACTAGGACAATAAGGAGCAGGGCGGCGCTCCATCAAGTGACCATGGGTTAAGCGAGTATGGCCAATACGCAACCTCGCCAGAGCTGTTTCCCACCGCCGGTTACGGTGGAAGGAGGACTGCCAAGAGGAAACACAACATTTAAGAGTACGTAGCTTGTTACCAGTAACAGACAACCAAGAAGCCTGCCAACGGGTAAGGACTGAGGAATGGATAACCGGGTAAAAGTCGGAATACGGAATGCCTTTGCGAGAGATGGGACAAGAGCGGACAGCTTCCTTGGCGGCAGCATCCGCACGCTCATTTAAAGACACACCAATATGGCTGGGAACCCAACAAAACTCAACCGACTTAAATTTACTGTGAACGAGAAACAGCCAATGCTGGATCTCGACAACTACTGGATGAACCGGATTAAAGGACCCGAGAGCCATGAGGGCACTACGAGAGTCAACAACAACTACAAAGGAAGACTGACAACGAGAAAGCAGGAGACGATGAGCATAGAGAATAGCATAAAGTTCCGCTGTAAAGATGCTAGTCTCCGGAGGCAAGCGACACATAAGTGCGATCAGGAAAAACAACAGAGTAGCCAACACCGTCCGCTGACTTAGACCCATCGGTGAAGACAGAAACGGAGCGGGAGTGAGAAGAAAAGTGCTAGAGGAAAAGGCGTTGCAGAACTGTAGGAGGGGTAAAAGCTTTAGTGATACGGGTCAAGGATGTACAAAACCGCGGAAGAGGGACCCTCCACGAGGGCAAAGAAGGAACAACACGAGGAGAAACATCAGAAATACGAACGGAAAGAGAATCCTGCAGGCGAGATAACCGGACAGAAAGAGGGAAGTGGTGAAGAGGAACAGGAACCGCAGGAGGGGTAAAAGTTAAAGCACGACAGAGGCGAGAGGAAGGATGTTGCAAGGACCGCGCAAGATAGCGAAGACAGTAGCGATCACGGCGGTCCTGGAGAGACAGGAAGCCAGTGTCAACATACAAGCTAAGGATGGGAGTCGAACGAAAGGCACCAGAACTGAGGCGCAACCCAGTATGGTGCAAAGCATCAAGACGGCGAAGAGTAGAAGGAGAAGCAGACGAGTAAGCAGGGCAACCATAATCGAGCTTAGACAGGACGAGAGAGGAATGTAAAGCAAGGAGTGCGCGCCTATCCGCCCCCTAAGAAGTATGGGACAAGACCCGAAGGACGGTAAGGGCCTTAGAGCACTCAACACGGAGGTAAGAGACATGGGGAGACCAAGACAAACGAGTGTCAAGGAATAACCCCAAAAGCTTCGCGGAATCTTTGTATTCAAGGGGATGACCATAAAGTGACAAAGAGGGATGAAGAACAACCCGTTTCCGCCTAAAAGTCATGGCACAAGTCTTAGAAGTAGAGAACTTGAAGCCATGATCTGTGGCCCAAGACGACACGGCATCAATTGCAAGTTGAAGCCGGCGTTGAAGGAGAGGCGAATCATCACCCTGACAACAAAGGGTAAGATCATCGACATAGAGAGCGGAGAAGACACCAGAAGGAAGAGAGGAAAGAAGACCATTGAGGGCAACCAGAAAAAGAGTAGTGCTCAGAACACTACCCTGGGGAACACCTTCGTATTGCTGAAAAGAGGGAGAGAGAGCGGTACCAAGGCGCACCCGAAAGGAACGACCAGAGAGGAAGCTGCGGAGAAAGAGGGAGATGACCACGAAGGCCAAAAGAATGAAGTTGAGATAGGATATGATAACGCCAAGTGGTGTCGTAAGCCTTTTCCAGGTCAAAAAGGACGGCAACAACGGAGGTCTTCGCAGCAAAAGCAGTACGAATATAGACCTCCAAGTTCACCAGGACATCTGTCGTGCTGCGGCACTTGCGGAAACCAAATTGAGAAGGGGAGAGGTGATGGTGTTCCAGGAACCACATCAGACGAACGTTAACCATACGTTCAAAGAGTTTGCAGACACAACTTGTGAGAGCAATAGGGCGAAAGTCCTTAGGGGAAGTACCCAGAGACCCCGGCTTGCGAACAGGGAGGACAACGGCATCGAGCCAGTCCTCAGGGACTGACGACGACTCCCAGATCCGATTATACAGACTCGGTAAATACCGAGCACTGAGACGTGCTCGGAGGGAGATGGCGAAGCATCTCATAATGAATACCATCGGAGCCCGCCGCCGTAGAACCGCAGAGGGCCAGGGCAGAACGAAGTTCAGAGAGAGAGAGAGAAGGGATCATTATAGGGAAGCTGAAGATGAGTGCAGAAATCTAAATGACGCGACTCAAGGACAGGTTTACGAAGAAGGAAAGATTGGGGAAGATGAAGACCAGAGCTAACAGAAGAAAAGTGGGAACCCAGTTCGGAAGCGACCTGCAACGGGTCCGCCACAAGAGTATCATGGAGGTGAAGGACCGGTGAAACATCGGGAACGAACTTACCCACTATCTAGCGGATACGCTTCCAGATCTGGGCCAGAGGGGTTTCGGACGTAATTGTCGAGACATAAGATGCCCAACATTCACGTTTAGCCGTACGGATGGCCCTACGGGCCACCGCACTCGCTTTCCGAAAGAAAAGAAAAGAATCGGTCGTCTGCCTACGGCGGTGCCTCTTCCAGGCTGCACGCTTACAGCGGACAGCCCGAGCACAGTCCGCATTCCACCAGGGAACGCACTTCCGCGGACCCCGAGAGGAAGAGCGAGGAATAGAGCGGAGGGCAGCGGTGAAGACAGTGTCATGAAAAAGGAGGAGAGCGCGAGGGAGAAGCAGAAGGGAGAGGTCAGAGAGAGCAGCACTGAGGGTAAATAGGTTCCAGTCCGCTTTAGCAAACTGCCACCTAGGAAAAGAGAGGGAAGGGCGAAACGAGAAAAAGGAAACAAGGATGGGGAAATGATCACTGCCATGGAGGTCATCAAGAACCTGCCACGTGAAATCTAAGTAAAGAAAAGAAGAGCAGAGAGAAAGATCAAGACAGGAAAGGGTGCGAATCCGGGAGTCCAAATGAGTGGGCTCACCAGAATTCAGGAGAGACAGGGAAGAAGAGGAGAAACGGCTCAAGAAGGCGACCCCAGGTATTCGTCAGAACGTCACCCCAAAGAGAATGACGACAATTGAAGTCACCCAGCAGGAGCACAGGCTCCGGCAAGGAGTCCAGGAGGTGTTTCAAATCAGGAAGAGAAAGCGGGACACTCGGGGGTAGATAAATGGAACAAACTGTGTACCATTTCCCCACAAAGATACGAGCAGCAGAACAATGGAGAGGCAAAGGAAAAAGTAAAGGAACAAAGGGAACATCAGCACGAACCAAGAGAGCAGAAGAATTAGAAGCCCCAGCAATGGCTGGGGGGGGGGGGAGGAGAAAGGAATAGCCACGAAAACGACCAGGACGAGCACCAAGCATTGGCTCCTGGAGACAGACACAAAGGGGCGAAAACCGCGAAATCAGAAGTTGGAGTTCGAGGAAATTGGCGTAATAACCTCGAACGTTGCATTGAAGAATGGACAACGACGAGAAGAGAAAGGACAAAAACAGAGAACAAGGAAGAAACAAAGGCGAAAGAGCAACAGAGCACGTTAAAGAACATCAGGGTCGGGATCAGGGTCAGCAAAGTCAGGGTTAGGGGGCATGGGTAAACTGAGCAAAGACGGAGGGAAAGAAACGGGAGAACAGATCAGAGGTGGGCGGGCGGGGTCCGGAGGAGGAGACAACGGAGAGGAGCAGTCAAGGACAGCAGCAGGAAGAGGGGGAGTAGAAAGAGGGGAGCGCACCTCAGCAAGAGCAGCAACCGAAAGGGAAGCAGGGGCCAAAGAAACCTCCATAGCAGGAACAGGGGGCGCAATCACTGAAACGGGAGGGGAAGGAGCAACAGAGCCAGAAGTAGGAGCCGAGGAAGAAAGCGAAGCCTTCTTACCCGCCGGGGAAGAGGAAGGAGAGGAGCCAGGCTTACGCTTCTGACTTAGAGACCGGTGTCCCAGCAACTACGTACCGGGCAACGGATTCCAGTGTCTCAACAGAAGCCGAACGAGAGCACACACGACGGCTGTTAGGAGAGCGATGGACATCCGCCCGCACCGACAGGCGGTGGGGAGAGCCGATAGATGGAGGAAGAGGATGGGAAGGAGGATCGGAGGGGGACGAGGAAGAAGACACAGGAGACACGACTGACCGGGTAGAAGGAAAAGGAACCCCAGACAGAGGACCAGGAGGAGGATCCTTTGGGAGAGAACCCAAAGGAACAAAGGAGGGGGCAGTGGGCGCATCAGGGTCCAAGGCCCGGAAACGGTTGTGAGTCTGAGGAAGGCGGGAAGGACGAGGAGAGGAAGAGCGCAACACGCGAGCATAAGAGATATTAGCAAAAGGCGGGAGCCGGCGAACCTGGCATCTCGCCTCAGGAAAAGACAAACGCTCCCGGTGCCTCAAATTGAGGACGGCTGCCTCAAGCTTGTAATGGACACACGCACGGGAGAAGGTAGGATGGGCCTCACCGCAGTTGAGGCAACGAGCCTGGGGAGAAGTGCACTCCGACTTAAGAGTGACCTTCACTCCCACACAAAGGACAGAGAGAGACAGTCCCAGAGCAGCGGAGGGCACCATGCCCAAACCTCCAGCACTTGTTACAAAGTCGAGGAGAAGGAATATACTCCTGGACAGAGCACCTAGCACCAGCAAGTATGACAGAGGATGGAAGGGTCCTACCATCAAAGGTGATCTTCACAACGCAAAGGGGTTGACGGCGACGACCACGAGGGGGACGAGTAAACGAGTCAACCTGGAGGACAGAATGGCCTTGGGCATCAAGGATATGCCGTATATCATCGTGGCAATCCTGCAGATTCCGAACACCGGTTGCAACATGGGGTGGGAGGAGAATAGTGCCAACACTGGCATTCATCTGAACATTCTTGGAGACCCGAACAGGGATCTCGCCAAGGCAAGATAAGGCAGCCAAGCGGGAAGCCGCATCCTGAGAAGGAGCAGCAACGACACGTGTACCGAGACAAGTGGGGTTGAAAGTAACAGACGCATCCACAGAATCTACAAGATGCCGATGGAGGGAGAAATCGTCAGGAGGCGCAGAATCAAGAGGGAGGAGATCAAAGTATTTGGCCCATGAAGCAGGACCAAACAAGGCCTGATACGCATCAGCACGGGAAGGAATCGAGCGAGTGCGGTTGGGGCGCGAACGGCGTTGAGAACCCCTAGAGAGGGGTCAAAAGGCGCAGTAGTCACAACGAAAGACTTAGCCACACCAGGGGACGAAGTGGTCACCACCGGGGGCTGGAGGCTCGACCCAACCACAGAGGGAGGGGAGCTGGGGAAAGAAGTCAGGACGGTCAAAGGAGGAGCAAGGTCGGGGCCTAACGCAGCGGGAGCTACAGAGCCTGGTCTTCCAATACAGGCCGACTCGGGGGCTTGGTCGCCCACCCCACGAGCCTGAGAGGGTACAACGGAAACATTCAACGACAGAGACGAAAAGTGACAAATTCATCCACGAATGTGCCCCCATACCCACCATGGAGCCACAATTAGAGGCAGGACACCCAACAGGAAGCTATCGCCGATCATGCCGGGGCCCCCTAGGGGTGCGTCGTGAGTATATGCCCCACAAACGCCACCTTAAGAACTGTCAGTCCGTCGAGATCGGGTTCAGCGACGAAAGGGGGATTGACAATAAAAGGTTCCCCTCGCTCGAGACGTTGGGTACTACAGTTCTACGGGTGCAAGAGTATGCCTCCTCAAGCACCCGGGCGCCAAAATAGAAGAAGTCCAAAGAAATAATCCAAAACAAGCAAAAGGTCGGCAGGAAACGACAAGCAGATAGGAGAAGAGGGGGGGGGGGGGAGAAAAACGAAACATAAGGTAAAGGAAAAGCGATCCGGCACAATTGGAGAAGACAGCAGCAGGAGTGCAAGGCCAGAAAAGGACAGAGGACTGCCCAACGGAGCGTCACACTCCGGCAGCCGTCCACCAAGCCCCCTCACGACGCCAACGGGCCGGATGGGGAGGGGGTAATTCTTATAAATACAAACCTTAACAATGACAAGTGTAAAATAGCAGTGTTGATAATCAGAGGGGCATTGGGTATACTGTACTAAGAGAACTCCATCAATGTTAAGAGCACAAGACAAACACCCTTCCTCCATATAATGGGTATCACTAACCAATCTGTTAGAAAATGAACTTCATAATCACCTCCAAAAGGATACCCAATCAACTGGGTTGTAACTTATGTCTGATTGCAAGGAACCTGGATAACAAGAACCTTTCAAACTAGAGATGCTATACCAATGATACTTTTCAAGATGCTAGTGCTCTAGAGTAGAATACTGTTGCACAATGACACAATCCCCTTTCAAAGCTGGAGAAATTGCTGACCTGGAGAGCATGTAGAGATCCTTTACTGCTAGAATCCACTCTGTAAAACATCTAAACTATTGAGACCAACTAAAATGCCTAAATCTGTATTCTCTTGAGCGCAGGCAGGAGAGATACATAATAATTTACATGTGGAAAATATAGGAGGGGCTGATCCCAAACCTGCACAGAATAATAACACCACACGAGACCAGAAGGCATAGCAGGATGTGCAGAATACCCCCATTGAAAAGCAGAGGTGCAATAAGCACTCGGAACTATCAACGTCAGAGGCCCAAGACTATTCAACACACTTCTACTACATATAAGAGGCATAACTGGCTGACCCTAAGTGTTCAGAGAATGATAAATCCTTCCAAAGGATACCTGATCAACCACGCTGTGATTCATACGTCAGGCTGTGAGCAGCCACATCCAGGAGACCTGGTTGAGGACCGGGCCACGGTGACGTTGAGCCCTTAAATCACCACAAGGTAGCCATGTCTAAACAGCATGATGACCAGATTACCAAACACAGGTACATCGAACCACTTCAAGGTTATCTCACAATTAAAATTACAGTACTTAAAAAACCCTCCTCTTATCTCAATAGGTTGTAATAGAGGAGGGGGGTAAGCAGACAGATGGACTTTGAAATGAAATACCAAGATTCATTCCGTGAGTAACATTGTAACACTATTGCAGTGAACCCCATTCAAACTTCCTAAACTGGAAGTTCCCTCCCACAATACTGTGCATGGCAACTATTGGTCAAGTCTGGGTGACACTGCACAGTGGCATGGCCCTCAGTACCAGGAATACCCTTAATAAATGAGAATCCATCACTAGCCTTATCCACTATCTTCAGTATTGGTATTGTATGCACCTTGGTAAATATAAAAACCTTCTATCCTCACTATGCCAGATGACATCTGGAGTTGCATGCCAAGGACATAGGACAAATGTGTGTGTACATGTATTCAACCTAAGTCAGCAAAGTCAGTGCACATCAGCCGTGTGCCATCAACCCATAGGAGATTATCTCCCCGGGAACACAACCATTTCTCAAAATCTTGCCCATCTATCCTGGGCTAGTCTACAACGGGACAAGATTGCTCCAGCCTCAAGGTGAGCTGCCCTCATTGTACTCGACAACATTCTCATCCTGCAGGTGACATTATTACGTGGTATTGCCATTCAGGGGGAAAAAAAAAATATTGCACAAGGGCAATCTAGAAGTGTTATTTCCAAACTGTTGAATCTCATGATACAGAGTATTTGGTATGGTATTTCAAGTGGATGCAGCGATGGTTTAGACGGCGGCAATACAATTAAGTATTTATGGTGTATATGGGTTGATGGTTATGAAGTTTGCACATGGTCATTTTGCAGTGCTCGAGACATTCATGGTTATGGCGGTAGTGGATAGTGATCATGCAAGATAAAACATGATCTTCAAACTCTTATCAAAGTTGATATATGGCAAGACGTCCCCGCCTTGCTCTTGCAAGAAGTCTCACAGACGTTTCGAAATACTGCAACAAACTAGTGGTGGTTGTATTGTGGTAAAGATAAGACTGATTCTAATTGTCAGGACTTTGGGTATAGTGTACCCGTGGTGAAAGCTGCACAACAGCTGCTTATCAAGGTTCATAATAGAGCACATACTTTCCTTCAACATATTACATATCTAGACCTGTGCTTTCCCTTGTATACCATCAAAATCCTTAGCATTTGAGAAATTTACAAAAATTTACATTATTAATGGTTAAAAGACAGACTGTAGGTAAAACAAAGAAATATTTGATTAAGAAAATCTAGTACTAAAAAAAAAAAGAGAATTGATTAGTTCTAGGACTTACCTTTCACGGACACACTTGTGGCACAGATTACCTCCATACGCACGGGTTACTCTCTTCACGCGCTTTGATAGGCGATGGAGCTTATGGGGCCTGGCAACCACAATACCAGGAAGCCTAGTCTTGCAATTACCACAAGCTGGGGCCTTACCCGGCTTTTTCTGATAATGATAAACAAGACGGCCACCAGGAGTCTTCACACTGAAAGAAAACAATACATTGTATAATTAAGACATCAGAATGTTCCAGGCTAAATTCTCCAAGCTATTTTGATCTAAAAAACCCAAGAGGAAGGTTTCCTTATCTCCATGAAGGAATTTCTCGCATGTGGAAACTGGGTGTAAAAAATACATGGGGCAGACCCAATTCTTACAAGCAGGATTTTCATTATACCCAAAACCTACAAGCCCTCTCTAAATAGACCGGTTTTAATCAGTTTTTAGGTACAAATACCAAATCCTATACCATTATACAGTATTATATGCATGCATAATAAACTCTCAAGCAGCATTTGAAATTAATTAAATTAGTTGTTTAATGTTTGTTCAAAACACCCATGCAATTAACCAACCCCATATCACTTTAGATAGTTTTCAGCTCAATTAGCACTTTCAGAGGCCAAGTCCTGGTGGTGTATCAAAATAATAATTTTTGTTCATGTCACAAACACTGGTGGTTTGATGCTAGTTATTCTTTATTGTCTTTGTAACAGGATAGAGCAATCATGTGCACATATTTTGGAGCCAACATTATGAATACATGGCATACAAGTGTTAAATTATTAAACAATCCTGTTCAGCACACTCCTTTTGTTTAAGAAGAGTAACAATCACCACCACACCTTGTAGAACCCCTTCACAGATCTACAATCACCAACTTTTTCCAATTTTTTTTTTACCATTTTCTCTCATACCACCAAGATCTCTAATTAGAAAGGCAAATACCGAGTAGAAGATTCAGTATCAACACTAAAATCCTACACCACTTACGGCCAGCTGACGATCAGACATACACGGGGGCTTTTATGGACTGTATTTGAGTGTACATAAGAATCAAGTGCAGAAGGCCTATTGGCACATATACGGCAGCTCCTATTTATTATATACCCAAACTTATTCACTCACTTGACAACATTATAACATTTACAACCTATGTTCCTGTGCAATGCTAAACAAATTTGAGTAACAACGATCCAAAATGGATAGCAATGGGACTAAACTTTATCAGAAGAAAAAAAATGTTACATACAAAAGAATTAAGAATTGTTAAGTCAATCTAAAACAATTTATCAAACCTAGTCACAAATGTTATAAAAGTAAAAGATTAAAAACTATATACAGTATAGTGGGGCAGATAAAAATCTTTGAATACTTTTTCCCAGATGTATCAAACAAAGATTACAGAGAAGATTGGGGCACTGAAAATCAGGAAAGGTTTACCTGAAGCTACTGATGTAGGTATGAGAAAAATCTTGTATAACTGACATTACAAAATAGTCGGAAATATAAACATTACGAAAGTCCAAGTTGCAGCAATTCTCAAAGCAATTCCTTTGCTTACTATCCAGGGGCCAGATTCACGAAGCAGTTACGTAAGTACTTAGGAACGTTTTATGTTCTTACCATCTTCGTGGCAGCTACGTCGGGATTCAGGTAGGAATTTAAGAACGAAAATCTTCCCAAGTACACCGCCTCTCGCTATGACAGCTAGACCAGGTCGTAGCTTTACGTAAACTGGATATAACGATTTTTCTCTACTACACAAACTCGAGGATCGATTTTAATATGAACAATCATTTTTACTGGCGAGTCTCATCAAGGAGTCCTTCATGTTAGCTATATATGCATTCCCTACTAGTAAACTTGTAGTAAATGTTTTTTATATTATATTTAGATTTATAATAGCAAGATATTATTCCAGTAGTTATTAATTTAAGTAAATAAACACTGGTGAACGTGATATGAAAGTAGGTGATGATCCTGGGTTTGACAGGAATGCTTTGAAGCATTTACTATCACCTAATGACTCTGTTCACCTAGCAGTAAGTATAGCTACTCAGGAGTTGGTCAGATTATTGTGAAGCTGCATCCTGAGGGAGGGACCTCGATACAGGCCTAACATGTATGCAATTAATAATAATTCATTGTGGCAAGGACAGGCAGCCAGTGTACATATACATGTCAGGCTTATATCGAGGTCTTCCCCCTCCCAAAGGTTGAATTACTGACCCTCCCAAGGATGGACCTCCACAAGCTCACAAACCTTTGAGTACCCCACTTACTGCTAAGTGAACATGGTATTAGGCGACAGAAAATGTGCCCAACCATTTCTGTCCCGTCCAGGATTCGAACCCGGCATTCTCAATTGCGAGTCGAGAACGAACCCAACTCAATGTCAAGCTACTGAACCTAGCCCAACCCATCCTAGCCTAACCTTTCCCAACCTAGCACAACTTAACCCCACAGAGTCCAATGCAGACAAGCATAACAATATAAATACAATTTTAGCAAACAGAAAATGAGCTTTGTCAAATCGTCTCGTGTCCGAAACGCCCCAGTCAGGCACCTTGCAATTTATACGCCTTTTATTACAAAAGTTTACAGTTAATAAATTTTTTACTACAACGAACCATTACCTAACATCATTTTTATGCAATTTATTGTGTTGCAATAACTTGCAACACTTATTGTGTGCCTATTGGTAGAATGGCCTATTGACATAGCTTGAGTGCATGGGGGAATTGTGTAAAATTCTGGTTTGTCTCTCTGAAGATCCAGGATCCAAGTAAATTCAGTAGAATTTCTGGTTGCAATTCTTATACCATGTCGTAGCTCAGTCGATTAAGGCCGTGTCTGGGATGCTCTCGGACGTAGGTTCGAATCCTCGTCATGGCCTCGCTTTTTTTTTTTTGCATGGAAATATATATATGCAATTAATTAAATTGGCACACAGATAAATAAGTCTTTGACAGCTACATTTTAGGGGTTAAAACCTACCTAACCTTACCACACCAAACACAGCTTAAGCTAACATGGCCTAACTGAATGCAACATACAGTTCTAACCAACGCCTAGGATACGTACAGTTCTAACCAACGCCTAGGCAACGTACAGTTCTAACCAACGCCTAGGCAACGTACAGTTCTAACCAACGCCTAGGCAACGTACAGTTCTAACCAACGCCTAGGCAACGTACAGTTCTAACCAACGCCTAGGCAACGTACAGTTCTAACCAACGCCTAGGCAACGTACAGTTCTAACCAACGCCTAGGCAACGTACAGTTCTAACCAACGCCTAGGCAACGTACAGTTCTAACCAACGCCTAGGCAACGTACCAATCACTTGGGTTAAATTACTCAAGTGTAGTTACAGGACGAGAGCTACGCTCGTGGTGCCCAGGCTCCCCAGTACTCCCTCATACACCCTGTGACACTACTGATGGTCTCCACCTCCACCACACCACCCAACGTGTTCCGTCTTCCACTCTCTTTACAAAAGAGAATTTTCATATATTTCTCTGGCAGCTTGTGACCCCCAACCTGACTGCAGGAGCCAAAGACGAGTAGGACAACACAAGTGTTATAACAAAGCTATTTTACCAATGATCAAACACATATATCTTTATGTTAGCCAAGTTTAAGTTCAAGCGGTGTCAGAGATGCAACGTGTCGACATCTTGCTCAACAATCTCGGGCCCGATCACTGACAACACTTATGGCATGAAACAATATAACAAGTGAAACATTATTATTAGTGTTATCGGCGGGTACTAGGGCGCGCGGGAGTGTTTCCAGCGTAGGACACACAGTCAACTTGGGTGGGTTGAAGGGCCTGCCTCGTGGGGCCCAATACCAATCCTCCAATTTCATTCATTAGTATTAAACACAGAGGTGAGGCCTCTGGACTACCCCAGCAGGCCTAACACGGCACACTAGGCCTACACTACAGCCCATCAACACTGGCTTGCGTGTACCCTCATGCCTCTGCTCACCTCTACACTAAGCACACACACATACTACAACACACCATCAATACCAACGCACAAACACCAACACCTATGTAACACAAACACCAACACCTATGTAACAATTCCTGACGAATTACTTAAACATATGAGATACATTACTTACATTTTTCTCCTGTTGCTGGCAGTGTTGTACGACAGCCGCCGACGATACGTTAGCCTCACCATTTTGATCTGTAAACCACAAATTAAAGAGAAAATCTGAATTTTATATTATAAATGATCTTGAGAAACATCTATACAAAACTTTTCCATTCATATATGACCCAACAAATGTGTTATTTAGCGGATGACGGCAGATAAAAACAGTTGTGCGGGGAACTGACGTGAGTGTTGTGGCGGGCGGTGCGGGAAGGACCAGGGATACCAACACCACCCAACACATGGCCTCGCCCAGGCTGGCCAACACTACTACCTACACACTTTCTATGGCATCACATTTCAGGAATATTAATTCATAATAATAATATTAATATTTTATTTAGGAAAAGTACATACATAGATGCACTTACAAATATTCTCATTGATTTATAGATAGGGGAAGTACATAGGGGAAGTACATACAATACCTAGAGCCACTAGTACACATAGCGTTTCGGGCACGGTGAGGCGGGGGGAACACTTACACTAAAACTTAATAGTAATTGAGCTTAATTAAAGTATAAATTGTGTTAAAAAAATAAAGTAAAAGATAAAAAAGGAGGGAACATGGTAGAAAATAGCCAATATAAAAGTTGGTCAGAAAACAGCATTTTTAAAAATAGTAAGACATGGGTTGATAATTAGGGGTACCTACCTACCTTGAGGTGCTTCCGGGGCTTAGTGTCCCCGCGGCCCGGTCGTCGACCAGGCCTCCTGAAATGGTAAGGTAGATTACATGGAGTTAATTACGTAATACTGTACTTAGTTTTCATCATAAACTGGTTGAGAGAGATACAGCCTTTGACATCATTGGGAAGGTCACTCCACATTCTGGGTCCCTTGATTTGTGGAGCATTTCTAGTTTGATTAAGTCGTACTCTTGGATACTCTATCAAATAGGTATTTGTTTCTGGTGTGGTGCCCATGGGTTCTGTTACAACCTTCTAAGACGCTTTAAAGGTCAGGATTAGCATTACAATTCAGAGTTTTAAATATATAGAGTACACATGAGAAGATGTGGATTACAATGATTCATAATAATGTTAAACATTACTTATGCTTAGTAAAAATTATGTTTTTTCAATATAATCAATATTATATACTACAGCAATTGTAACCTTTATTATAACAGGTTAAGTATCAGATTGGTTACACACACACACACACATATTATATATATATATATATATATATATATATATATATATATATATATATATATATATATATATATATATATGTTTACCAATAATTATCATAGATTATATTATTATAGATTTATAGATTTCCCAATACTAACATAGCTGCATTCACAGATAACTTGAGGAATCTTATCATAAACAACCTCAACAAGTCACATAGTTCTGCGGGGTGACTTAAATATTGACCTGGGTCAACAGTCAATATTGACCTAGGGCAACAGTCAATATTGACCTGGGTCAACGGTCAATATTGACCTGGGTCAACAGTCAATATTGACCTAGGGCAACAGTCAATATTGACCTGGGTCAACAGTCAATATTGACCTAGGGCAACAGTCAATATTGACCTGGGTCAACAGTCAATATTGACCTGGGTCAACAGTCAATATTGACCTAGGGCAACAGTCAATATTGACCTGGGTCAACAGTCAATATTGACCTAGGGCAACAGTCAATATTGACCTGGGTCAACAGTCAATATTGACCTGGGTCAACAGTCAATATTGACCTGGGTCAACAGTCAATATTGACCTGGGTCAACAGTCAATATTGTCCTGGGTCAACAGTCAATATTGTCCTGGGGCAACAGTCAATATTGACCTGGGTCAACAGTCAATATTGACCTAGGGCAACAGTCAATATTGACCTGGGTCAACAGTCAATATTGACCTGGGTCAACAGTCAATATTGACCTGGGTCAACAGTCAATATTGTCCTGGGGCAACAGTCAATATTGACCTAGGGCAACAGTCAATATTGACCTGGGGCAACAGTCAATATTGACCTAGGGCAACAGTCAATATTGACCTAGGGCAACAGTCAATATTGACCTAGGGCAACAGTCAATATTGACCTGGGGCAACAGTCAATATTGACCTGGGTCAACAGTCAATATTGACCTGGGTCAACAGTCAATATTGACCTGGGTCAACAGTCAATATTGACCTAGGGCAACAGTCAATATTGACCTGGGTCAACAGTCAATATTGACCTGGGTCAACAGTCAATATTGACCTAGGGCAACAGTCAATATTGACCTGGGTCAACAGTCAATATTGACCTAGGGCAACAGTCAATATTGACCTGGGTCAACAGTCAATATTGACCTGGGTCAACAGTCAATATTGACCTGGGTCAACAGTCAATATTGTCCTGGGGCAACAGTCAATATTGACCTAGGGCAACAGTCAATATTGACCTGGGGCAACAGTCAATATTGACCTAGGGCAACAGTCAATATTGACCTAGGGCAACAGTCAATATTGACCTAGGGCAACAGTCAATATTGACCTGGGGCAACAGTCAATATTGACCTGGGTCAACAGTCAATATTGACCTGGGTCAACAGTCAATATTGACCTGGGTCAACAGTCAATATTGACCTAGGGCAACAGTCAATATTGACCTGGGTCAACAGTCAATATTGACCTGGGTCAACAGTCAATATTGACCTAGGGCAACAGTCAATATTGACCTGGGGCAACAGTCAATATTGACCTAGGGCAACAGTCAATATTGACCTAGGGCAACAGTCAATATTGACCTAGGGCAACAGTCAATATTGACCTAGGGCAACAGTCAATATTGACCTAGGGCAACAGTCAATATTGACCTAGGGCAACAGTCAATATTGACCTAGGGCAACAGTCAATATTGACCTAGGGCAACAGTCAATATTGACCTAGGGCAACAGTCAATATTGACCTAGGGCAACAGTCAATATTGACCTGGGGCAACAGTCAATATTGACCTGGGGGCAACAGTCAATATTGACCTAGGGCAACAAAATAGCCGTCAAGTAGACTATTTCCTTAACTACATGAACCCCTGTATGCTCCTGCCCACAATCACCAAGCCCACCACAGTCACTCCAACCTCCGCTACAACCCTGGGTCACTCATGGACCAACAAGCCGACCACAGTCACTCCAACCTCCGCTACAACCCTGGGTCACTCATGGACCAACAAGCCCACCACAGTCACTCCAACCTCCGCTACAACCCTAGGTCACTCATGGACCAACAAGCCCACCACAGTCACTCCAACCTCCGCTACAACCCTGGGTCACTCATGGACCAACAAGCCCACCACAGTCACTCCAACCTCCGCTACAACCCTGGGTCACTCATGGACCAACAAGCCCACCACAGTCACTCCAACCTCCGCTACAACCCTGGGTCACTCATGGACCAACAAGCCCACCACAGTCACTCCAACCTCCGCTACAACCCTGGGTCACTCATGGACCAACAAGCCCACCACAGTCACTCCAACCTCCGCTACAACCCTGGGTCACTCATGGACCAACAAGCCCACCACAGTCACTCCAACCTCCGCTACAACCCTGGGTCACTCATGGACCAACAAGCCCACCACAGTCACTCCAACCTCCGCTACAACCCTGGGTCACTCATGGACCAACAAGCCCACCACAGTCACTCCAACCTCCGCTACAACCCTGGGTCACTCATGGACCAACAAGCCCACCACAGTCACTCCAACCTCCGCTACAACCCTGGGTCACTCATGGACCAACAAGCCCACCACAGTCACTCCAACCTCCGCTACAACCCTGGGTCACTCATGGACCAACAAGCCCACCACAGTCACTCCAACCTCCGCTACAACCCTGGGTCACTCATGGACCAACAAGCCCACCACAGTCACTCCAACCTCCGCTACAACCCTGGGTCACTCATGGACCAACAAGCCCACCACAGTCACTCCAATCTCCGCTACAACCCTGGGTCACTCATGGACCAACAAGCCCACCACAGTCACTCCAACCTCCGCTACAACCCTGGGTCACTCATGGACCAACAAGCCCACCACAGTCACTCCAACCTCCGCTACAACCCTGGGTCACTCATGGACCAACAAGCCCACCACAGTCACTCCAATCTCCGCTACAACCCTGGGTCACTCATGGACCAACAAGCCCACCACAGTGACTCCAACCTCCGCTACAACCCTGGGTCACTCATGGACCAACAAGCCCACCACAGTCACTCCAACCTCCGCTACAACCCTGGGTCACTCATGGACCAACAAGCCCACCACAGTCACTCCAACCTCCGCTACAACCCTGGGTCACTCATGGACCAACAAGCCCACCACAGTCACTCCAACCTCCGCTACAACCCTGGGTCACTCATGGACCAACAAGCCCACCACAGTCACTCCAACCTCCGCTACAACCCTGGGTCACTCATGGACCAACAAGCCCACCACAGTCACTCCAACCTCCGCTACAACCCTGGGTCACTCATGGACCAACAAGCCCACCACAGTCACTCCAACCTCCGCTACAACCCTGGGTCACTCATGGACCAACAAGCCCACCACAGTCACTCCAACCTCCGCTACAACCCTAGGTCACTCATGGACCAACAAGCCCACCACAGTCACTCCAACCTCCGCTACAACCCTGGGTCACTCATGGACCAACAAGCCCACCACAGTCACTCCAACCTCCGCTACAACCCTGGGTCACTCATGGACCAACAAGCCCACCACAGTCACTCCAACCTCCGCTACAACCCTGGGTCACTCATGGACCAACAAGCCCACCATAGTCACTCCAACCTCCGCTACAACCCTGGGTCACTCATGGACCAACAAGCCCACCACAGTCACTCCAACCTCCGCTACAACCCAGGGTCACTCATGGACCAACAAGCCCACCACAGTCACTCCAATCTCCGCTACAACCCTGGGTCACTCATGGACCAACAAGCCCACCACAGTCACTCCAACCTCCGCTACAACCCTGGGTCACTCATGGACCAACAAGCCCACCACAGTCACTCCAACCTCCGCTACAACCCTGGGTCACTCATGGACCAACAAGCCCACCACAGTCACTCCAACCTCCGCTACAACCCTGGGTCACTCATGGACCAACAAGCCCACCATAGTCACTCCAACCTCCGCTACAACCCTGGGTCACTCATGGACCAACAAGCCCACCACAGTCACTCCAACCTCCGCTACAACCCAGGGTCACTCATGGACCAACAAGCCCACCACAGTCACTCCAATCTCCGCTACAACCCTGGGTCACTCATGGACCAACAAGCCCACCACAGTCA